CTGTGACAACGATTTAAGAAGAAGCAGTATAATTCGCTATGGATTGTGGGAAGGGTAGTTCTTGACTCCAGAAGACAAACATGCACACAGTGTTGTCCCTTGGCCTTTTTCTCAATCTTTTTTTATGTCATTTTTGCGCCAAATCAAATGTTTTAATGGGGCAGCTGGTTTTCTTGGTTCCATGCTTCAATCTCTTGGTATAAAGAATTTGTGAAACGTCAAAGGAGGATTTGAACGGGGATATTTACTTCCAGAATCAGAGCCATCGAGAAAGTGGGCGGTCACTGTTAAGCTCTAACTCTTTAATTCTTTATTCATCACACTTCAAATTATTATCTCCATATTGAACAGTGTTATTGCACATGGCTTATTTGTCTCTTATTGTGCAGGCCCTAAAGCAGCATAATGAGTCAGATCTGATAAGACAGCTCAGTTTGTGCTCCTATGCATCTGTCGCAGGTCTAGTTAATGCTGTCGAGGAGCAACTAAAAACTATGCTGCGAAATTGGCTTTCCATTCATAATTCATTATTCTGCGCTAACCGTCGAATGATATTCTTTTAAAATTTGTTTAATGGAAGTCTTTGTTTGCTTTTAAAGTGAGAAAAGGCAACAGAGGTGTGAAGTGTGTTGGCAGCTTTTATCGTGTCCGCGAAAAAAAAACTGAAGAACAGTTCAGGAGACTCACTGCAAATTATTCATAGACTCCTGAAGAGGCTTTTACAATCTGTGTGTGTGTGTGTGTGTGTGTGTGTGTGTGTGTGTGTGTGTGTGTGTGTGTGTGTGTGTGTGTGTGTGTGTGTGTGTGTGTGTGTGTGTGTGTGTGTGTGTGTGTGTGTGTGTGTGTGTGTGTGTGTGTGTGAGAAGGCCAGAGAAAGTGCCGATGTGTTGAGGAAATGAGGAAAGCCAAAGTGCATGAAGGATTATTTAGTTGTTGGTCAATAATACTGGGTCAGGCATCCTCCCAGTTTTCACACACTCATAGACACACACACACACACGCCCGTTTCCGTTTCTGCAGCTCAGGACAACTGAGGAAGGAAAAAAAAGAAGCTAGACAAGGATGATTCAAATGGAGTTGGCTTGTGTCCCTCCAGAGAAAGATAATCTGATGATGAAAGTGGGACGCAGCAGAGGCATGATGGGGGGGGGGGTGTGTATGAGAGCAAACAGCTGAGATTTAACAGTTTGTGATGTACAGAGGGATGATAGAGGGAGGTGGAGGTGAAGAGCAGAAGGGATTTCCCCCAGCTGGGAGGGGGGAGAGTTAGGGGAAGACATATTACATAACAGTCAGTCTTGTGAAGCTGCAGGGCTGTGACTTTAAACCTCTGAGGTGTCGACATTTGGGACAGTTTGTTGTTAATAGTTTGTGACGTTTTGCTGCTGATTGTCAACAGGTATTCTGTTTTTACACATGCATTAATCTCCTGAACATCTGACAACTATTTTTGGGGTGAGCGGTATGTGTAAACACAAACATGTTTACACGCATGTGCAGCTTGAAGCAAAAAGAAAGCCGCCCCTCTGTTGCAGCTTAGCATACATGAAACAACACTTCAGCAACGAAGACAAAATGTAAATAGTCTTCTTGTGCAACAAAAATGTGCTTACATTGTCAGTATTTTTACAGTATGCATAATTCAGGAGTCAACATGCGGTCTTTTTGCAGCATCGTATACAAATAGACTATATAAAAAAAAAACAGATGTGCATTACAGGTTCAATAACCTGGCTCAGATTTACACAGCAGGGTCAGGACATCACATAAAGCTTACTTTACAATTTTTCAAACTCATAGCTGGTCCACATGTCGCGGCCCTTACCACATTACTGTGGTCTATACAGGAATGCTGGCACTGCTGCCCGCCACACATAAAGTCGGGCTGAGCAGATGTGTGAAGCAGCAGGTAACATTCATGAAGTCACTGTGAATGAGCCGGGAAGGGTTGATGATGTCCTCCAGTCGGGGCGTGACCGTTTGGAGATGTGTGCATATAATAAAGCTGCTTTATACCTTTTTTTTTAACAAGCTTTCACTCGTTAGGTGATACTCTGAATACGACCCTCCCAACCTTGACATTTTCAGGAGTGCACAATTGCTGTGTGCACACTGTCTTCAAGGTCTTCCTGATTATTTCCCACTAAAGTAAATGATGGCTTTCAGGACGCTGTGCGGTGTTTTCAGAGGGATTTATCCACAAAAAAAAAAAAAGAGCAAAGAGATGAAGTGTAAATTCTTTAACACCAGCATGTTGGTCATTCTCCATCTCAGGTCAGACCCTCAGGCGTTTTGTCTCCGCATTAGTTTCCTCTACTAGGTCTCTGTTTGTTTTGTTGCAGTTTCTGTGCCCCTGGTCACAGCCAGGATGAGGAGAGAGAGTCTCACCTGGGCCACCTGTGTGTACTATGTGCAGAAAAACTGTTCTCTTCCATTGCAGTTGTTAGATGACTTTCTGCAGGGATATGACTTTTGTGTGTGCAGGTGGAATATCTGCTCTCTAAATCAGTGCTATTGCAGAGTGTTAAAAGTTGCATTTGAATTGCTTAATGCAGTGTTTTATGCTGTATATGCATTTTTTTTTGCATTGAATAAAAGGTTAATGATTGTTTTATGTTTTTAAAAGTTTCATTGATAAATGAAGTCTGGTTGTTCATTCTTCTCTTAAATGACCCAAATAAGATGCAAAAGCAAAGGTTTGCAAGAGCCGACGTTTGCTGTTTTTCTGTTTGTGATATTTCTTCCAGTGTCTTTGAATACTTTCAACCTCCAAATCAATCCAATTTAAATGGCTAGTTTATAAAAGCATACAAATGATGGGATTTTTTAAAGGAAATGTGCAGAAATGCTTGTTGAACAGCATGTCACAGAACTGCCAAACACACAACAGGACAGACCAGAGCCTTAATTTTAAGTTGCCAAAAAAAAGGGTAAAGAATAAAGTGAACAAAGCTCGAGCTGGGATGTTTTTTATTCTGAGGTCAATTTAAATAGGATTAAGCAAACAATCCCCCGTGGGAAGTTTATTTCAAAAGGATTAAAGTATTAAATCGATTTAGATCTGAAAAGGAGAGAAAGCGTCTCTGTAGCCATCTGTTTCTGCTTCGCTGATTATATTTCCAAACACAAGTTACATTTACTTTATTTTCCCACAATAGTTTTGCATGTTTCATGAATCCCATGCCAAACTTCAGTGACTAACAGAAAAGTTGGCTCATTACATTATTTATGTAATATTACATATCCTTCCAATGCTGATGCATAAGATCCGTCTGCAGAAATTGCATGCAGCATCATGCAACTCATCATTTCTGCCTCGTCTGTCCATGTAGTCAAAATGCTGCTCCACAGTCCGCCTGGATTATTTCCCTCCCCATTTATATGTGCAGCCATGTCAGCAGAGCTTGTGTTTTATTTTTTGTAGGTTTGACATCGGTGCTGCAGGAATATCACATTGCCAAATCGATCAGGAGCTCATGTGCATGAAAGCAGGTCAAACCCCAGCTATTAACTGTGTCTCTGCGGGGCTCTGCCTTTTGAAGTTTTGGGGCCCAGAAATGTGAAAAAGACAGATTTCTAGTTTTATTCTCGCATCCTTTGAGACACCATGCAGGTTGACATTTGAATGATTTTAATCCTGTTCTCACCTGAAGTCTCGTTCTAACAGGCTCGCTGTTTGCTCAGCCTGACTGTGTGTGAACACGGAGCCAGACGTGTGTGTATGTGTGTGTGTGCAGCTCAATGTGGTGAAACAGTGAGCTCTCCTGCCCATGCTATTCCTCAGTACAAACACTGTGTGGAAGACTGTATTTAAATACACACTCTCTTAGCCTGCCCCCTACTGTTGCCCAGACCTACTTTCAAACACACACGAATAGACTCACACACACTCTGGGGAAAATAGGCCTTTAAAATACTTTGTATAAGAACAGAAGTGGACCAGAACTGAGCTGGGAGTTAAATGAATGCTAAATGATTTTTTCCGAGCCCACTGCCCTCCTGTTAAAACTCAATTAAGCAGTTTGGAGATAGACAGGGAGGAGAGGACTTTGTGGATCATACTGCCCCTTGTGGCAAAGAGTGGTATCACCCCTCCTCTGCCCTTTGCTCTCATTAGCATATGAACAGGTCAGTAACTAATGGTGTAATTAAGTTAGCTGTCACTCACTTGAATGAGAAATTACTCTCACTCTCAGCTCTGGTTGCTAGGCATTTTTGGGATTGTTTCACTGTGTTGCATCATTTCTTGAAACTTTGATTTAGAAAAAAATGTTTTAGAAGAGGATTCCTGCAAGAAAAACAAAATAATCTCCAGCTTTGGCTCACGTGTTTTTTTTTTTTTTTTAACCAGTGCCTTAATCATTTTAAGTCATTACATCCCCATCGCAGAATAGTTTTACTTTTAATAAGTTTGAAAAAGTGCAATGATACAATTTAAGTTTTTTTTTTAATTGAATATTAATTTTATACGTTTGCTAAGTTAATACACTTAAGTACATTTTACTTTTTTGGGACTTTTTGCACACAACCTGAATAAAATCACTCCTGTATACAAATCCTTCCAATTCACCCCCACAATATTTTGCTGTTGTAGTTCTCAAAGTGTCCAGTTGGTGTCCTCCTTTCCACACTTTCCCCTACATGTCCTGATGGAGCAGAGTTAAAGATTGAACTGTCTCTCTTTGCTTTGGTGACATTTAACGACTGTGACACTTTGCACACAAACCAGAAAACTGTCTGGGTTTTTACTCATGTTACAAACACTATTAGTCACAGTGTTTATTTGATAGAGCATCATGGATTCGATGGCATTACTTCATTACACACCGACAGCTCCTCTTTGAGATCTAAAGCATTCCCTGTTGATGTGCATATACACTTCAGTTCTGCAGAAGATGCAGCTGCTACAGTGTGCTTGCTTCTTTAGCATTCATCACTGGTTGGATTTGTTTCTAAATGCATCCCGTAGTGATCATTTCCTCTTGGTGTTTTTCTTCCAGGAGGTGAAGAGAGTTAAGTGCCAGCAAGTTGAGCGCAGTCTGTCCGTCCGTCCTGGAGCCTCTCCTCCCTGCCCTTTCCTCAACTCTTTTCCCCCTCAACTGATCTGATCTCGTACCTACATCTTTGAACCTGAAGACACACTCGGACAAAGTTAAACACTCGAACCGCCACCCACGCTGACCAGGATGATCACCTCAGAGCTCCCCGTCCTACAGTGAGTGGAACATCATTGCACTAAATATATTTGTTCTTCTTCTAAATGCAAGTCCGCTATAAGCTGTGGGTGTTACTGACTGCCCCTCTGTGGCTCTTCTTCAAACTTCTATAAAACCACTTGTGAAAGTCAAACATTTTTTCTGCCAAAGCTTCCAAACACAAGCGAGGGAGTCCGTGTTTAAACTTTCACAAAAACTACTCATCTGGGTTGTTGTAACTTTCCTGAAGAACAGTATTTGTCCTTTGATTTGCTTTGAGGATGTTTTAAAGCCTCTAAATCACATGTGTTTTGTGCTTTTCCTTTCTCAGGGACTCATCTAATGAGTCGGGGGCGACAGACGCAGTGGGCCTGAGTATGAGCATAAGTGAGCTGGAAGATCCCGAAGTTAAAGGCAAGAAGAAGAGGGGGAGGCCCGGAAAACAAGCCCAGGTAAGGGACTGTGTTTCTTTATTGTTTCTTATAAGCAAAATGTCCCTCTGCTTCGTTTTATGTCGGTGTCGTGAATGTGTATTTTTTTTTTCTGTCTTCTGTGATTATGAGTGGTTTGGGTTCTTAGTTTCTTTCCCTTTGTAATTCAAATTTCTTCCCCCGCAGTCAGCCAATAAGAAGCCTCGGAAGACACCGGTGGAAAAGGCTACAGGTGTAGCAAGAGGGCGAGGGAAAGCGAACGGCGTGGCTCAACATAATGGAGACGGAGGAGATCCTGTCACTCTGTTTGAAGTTGTCAAACTGGGAAAAAGTGCCATGCAGGTGGGTCGATTATTTTTTGTTATTTTGAAATGTTAATGCTCAGTTATTAAGCTTCTTAAATATGAATGTCGTTCACTCAAATCCTGTTCTGTCTTTCTCTTTGATTGTCTTTAGTCTGTGGTGGATGAGTGGATCGAGTCGTACAAACAGGACAGAGACTTGGCCCTGCTCGACCTCATCAACTTTTTCATCCAGTGCTCAGGCTGCAAAGGTGAGACGAGAGAAACTACTGAATGTTAGTGAATGAAATCTGCGGCTCTGTGTGAAACAGCTTGAACAACTGTCCTGTCTTTTTTCTTCCATAATCAGGCACCGTAAGGATCGAGATGTTCAGGAACATGCAGAACGCAGAGATCATCCGCAAGATGACCGAGGAGTTTGACGAGGTAATTCTTGTCAGCTGTTGTCAAGTTGTCACGTAATGAATCCAAGCAGTGCTGTAGTTACTAGCAATATATACATGTCTTTATGGAAGCTGTGTGCTGGGTGTTGGAGTTCCAGTTAAATCAGGAAAGATCCTGAACAGGATAACAAAGATTTCAAATGGCTTTTATACGCTTAAGTCTTGGTTCACAGCTTAATTACAACAAGAGCTAAACACAAAGTAAATGGAAGGAATTAGTCGTTGGATGCAATTTGATTCACATCAAACGTTAGAAAAATGAAAGAGCATGTGCTTTTAAAATGTGTGATAGTGATCTAAATACAGTGGAAACACATAACTGTTGACATGTGTCTCAGACAAACTCCGGATTTGTTTCTGAGAAGAACCTAATGTTTCACGAGAGACTAACATGTGCATAAAAGCATTTCAACTGATGAGATCTCTTTTGCACACATCTGCGTTACCGATATGACAACTCTGTTTACCAGCATACAATCATGTGGTCTGAAAGAACAAATCTGAAACATCACTTGCGATCTAAGAGGTTACGGGTCGCAGAGTGTTCCCGCTGACTGAGCAGAAGAGGGCTGATATTTTCCTTAACTAATTCTTTTGCTAACGTAAATGGGGAGATTCTTTCCAAGATTCAGAACTTTTTTTTTTTTTTAATTCTCCTCAAAAACAGCTCGTAACCTGATCATTTAAAAAAAAAAAAGTGTCTCTGATGACTTTGCTTTTGTGAACAGGACAGCGGGGATTATCCTCTCACCATGCCCGGGCCCATGTGGAAAAAGTTCCGCTACAACTTCTGCGAGTTCATCAGCGTCCTAATCCGCCAGTGTCAGTACAGCATCATCTACGACGAGTACATGATGGACACGGTGATCTCCCTCCTCACGGGGCTCTCCGACTCTCAAGTGCGAGCCTTCAGACACACCTCCACGTTAGCAGGTAATGGCGGCAGCTTTGTGAAGACCGCAGCAGTTCTTTCAGTACAAGCTTACTTGTACTTGCTTGTGCAGCCTGTTGTAGAAGGGTGACAGTGTGAGCGGTGTAACGTCCTTTAAATGTCAAGGTAATTATATTAAACAAATGCTTTCATGTTGTGGTTTAAAAGAAGGATGCAGGGATGATAATGAGGACTGATGATGATGGAGATGCCTTATCTAGACTTGTGCACGGGGTTTTTCAAAAGGGGCGATTTGTGTCTGCAGCATTTCAGTTACTTGACCTTGATTGTGCTCTTCTTTTTTCTTTTTCTTTTTTAAATCTCTGAACAGCGATGAAGCTGATGACGGCGCTGGTCAACGTGGCTCTGAACTTGAGCATTCACCAGGACAACACGCAGAGACAGTACGAGGCCGAGAGGAACAAGATAGCCGGCAAACGAGCCAACGAGAAGCTGGAGCTGCTGCTACAGAAGAGGAAGGAGGTTGGTGACCAGTTTGACGTTCAGCAACAACCTTAAAAACTTGAAACACAGAACACAAGGGGCGAAAATATTTGCTCAACTTATAATAAAATGATACATTATATTTGAAATATTTTATGAACCAATCATCACTTTTAATGGTGCAGCAGCAGCTTTTATGAATATTATAAATGTTACACAATTGTGTGTAGCTGAAAACTGGCCATCAAGATGCTTTAACAGTGTTGAAGGAAACTCTTGTGTTTCAGCCGCTCCTCAAATGTTACTCATAATGGTGATAAAAATATAAATACTGTTAAAGTGTGTACTCATGGTTGCAAAGTGAGGCGAGCTGCACAGAGGAGATCGCACTGAGGGATCTCCGAAATACTAACAAAGTAGAAGAAACCTCAGCTCAGCCTGAAATGGAGGTCAGTGTTCTCAGAGAAGGACCTTATAAAGTGCTGGAGCGCATGAATCACTGAAGGGAAATGTGTTTCGGTTCAAAGGACTAACGTTTTGACGCACTGTTTCTAGTCTAGTTGGACTCAGAGGAAGATGCAGTCCTCAGGGCGCTCTCCTCTGTGCAGCTGGCCTCACTTTGCGGTGATGAGTATCACTGTTCAGCTTGCTTGAATTAGTAAATATGTCTTACCTTAAAACTTGGTGATTTTCCCATCGCAGCTTCAGGAAAACCAGGATGAAATCGAGAACATGATGAACTCCATCTTCAAGGGAATCTTCGTGCATCGATACAGGTACACTAAAAATGTTGGAATGTTGCTGTGACTATTTCTTTTTGCTAAACTTTTAGAAGCTAATGTTACTTGAATTTGTTGTTCTGATAAAAAAAAAAAAAAAAAACAGCAGCCTTCTGCCACAACATAGTTAATGTTGGTTATCAGTCCAACATGCCTAAGGGGGCGACAGTAGCTCAGTCTGTAAAAGAGTTTTTGTCATACTTGATGATATTGGAGCTTGTGTTGTTTTTCTTTTAGGGATGCAATCGCCGAAATCCGAGCCATCTGTATCGAGAGATCGGAGTGTGGATGAAGATGTACAGCGATGCTTTTCTTAATGACAGTTACCTGAAGTATGTTGGTTGGACGCTACACGACAGGGTAAGCTCCTAGTAACAACAAATACATATATGACTTCCCACCAGGGTGTGCTGTCTGCTTTAACATACTCTGTTCCTCTTTTCCTTTTCTTTTTTCTTCAGCAAGGAGAGGTGCGTCTGAAGTGCCTGAAGGCTCTGCAGAACCTGTACACAAACCGAGAACTGTTCCCCAAGTTGGAGCTTTTTACAAACCGCTTCAAGGTAACAACCGAATGAAAAACAAACAGGAACCATGCTTTGATGCTTTATTTCATGTTTCTCTGGTTTCTGTCTATTTAATATTTTTTCCCCTGTTCACTTAAATCTGTTAATGACAGGATCGTATAGTATCTATGACACTGGATAAGGAGTATGATGTGGCTGTGGAAGCTATCAGACTGGTCACACTCATCCTGCAGTGAGTAACTTTAATGTCTTTTACCATCAATTCACTGCTCTCTTCTAGGATCATTCATAAAATCAGAACATTTCTTCAATGGACATTATTGATGTTTGTCGGGCAATTTTATTCAGATTAATTTGTGTTTTTCTGAATGTGATGATGTTTACAGGGGCAGTGAAGACGCATTGTCCAATGAGGACTGTGAGAATGTGTACCATCTGGTTTACTCGGCCCACAGACCAGTGGCCGTCGCTGCTGGAGAATTCCTGCACAGAAAGTGAGTCAATCCTGAGACCTCTTCAAAGGGTGCACTCACACTGCGCAATCTATACTGTGTCCAAGCGCAAGTGCTGTCTTTTCCTCTTTTTAACATTCCTCTCTCTCTCCTCTGCCACTAAATCTCTCCCCCTCCTCTTCCTCCTCACCTCCCTGCCTCTCTGTCTGTCAGGTTGTTCAGTCGTCATGACCCACAGGCAGAGGAAGCTCTGGCGAAGCGCAGGGGGAGGAGCAGTCCCAACGGGAATCTCATCCGCATGCTGGTGCTGTTCTTTCTGGAGAGCGAGGTAACACACGCACAAAGAAACTTCTATTTCACATGATGCACACATGACATATTATCTGTAATCCGTCTTTACAAATGAACTTTATCCTTTAAGAGGTTTTTTAGTATACTGGTATTTTATGTGTGGTGGGTACGATGTCTCAATTCTGCTACTGAGGGAGATAAAAATAGTTTGTTATGTTTTCAGCTGTATAGTTTTTCTCTCTGTCTTTCTCTTTTGTAATCACTCTCTCTCTCTCTCTTTCTGTGTGTATATGTAGCTCCATGAGCATGCAGCCTACCTGGTGGACTCTCTGTGGGAGAGCTCTCAGGAGCTGCTGAAGGACTGGGAGTGTATGACTGAACTTCTGCTGGAGGAGCCTGTTCAGGGAGAGGAGGGTACGCAAGAACGTCTGATTTTTTTTAAAAAACTTCTTCACAACGTTGCAGCTGGATGATGCAATGAAATCCTTTTCTTTGAAACGCTCTCTGTTTCTCTTTTAATCCGTCTGTGTCTGAAACTCACTGACAACCTGACTCTCCCCTTTGTCTCCCTGTTTGTCTCTCTCTCTCTCTCTCTCCTTTGCTCGGTCTCCTCCTGAACGTCTCTGCAGTGTTGTCAGACAGACAGGAGAGTGCTCTGATAGAGCTGACAGTCTGCACCATCCGACAGGCAGCAGAGGCACATCCACCTGTTGGTAGAGGCACGGGCAAACGGGTAGGTGAAGAGCTTGCGTGATGAGCTCCATTCAAACCCTATCCAATACGATATCCAATACGTAAATCACGTCAATATCGGACCCGATACCGATACAAGATCGGATCCCATCTACTTTTTTCCCCCCAAACATATACCACATAAAGCCTTTTGTTTGCTTATTTATTTTCTGTATTAATTCATGGAACTTTTACCAAAGCTGCATTTAACTTTGTTAATCTAGAAACCAGCAAAGAGAGAATTGTTTCTACACATGAATAACTTTCAGGGTGGAACAGAGAGGAAACAGTTGAACAGTTTCATCCTCCTTTTCCAGCCTTTATCAACACACACACACACACATTTGACCTACAGCTTTGTGTTGGCTCATGCAGGTGCTCACAGCAAAGGAGAGGAAGACTCAGATAGACGATAAGAACAAACTCACAGAGCACTTCATCATGGCTCTGCCCATGCTTCTGTCCAAGGTAAGACCTTCATGAGAGCCAGCCTGAAGCTCGCAGCAGAGAGACCAGAGACCCTGATGAATGAGTGGGCTTAAAGACTGATCAGTTTGTTTGAAAAATAATCAATCATGTTGTTATTTATGTAGTTATGAGGAGTGCTAGTGAACGTCAACACCAATCTGGACAAGTGTTCTGGCTAAATAGTTAAAATGTGATTGATTTTTATACTGAGAGGGAAACAGAAACAGACCATCAGATGTTTATTCATGAGTCTTTCCTGCATGTCACGTCTTATGTTTGCTTCGTCCACAGTACCAGGCAGACTCAGAGAAGGTAGCCAACCTGCTGCAGATCCCTCAGTTCTTTGACCTGGACGTGTACAGCGCCGGCCGCATGGAGAAGCACCTGGACGCCTTGCTGAAGCAGATGCGGCTGGTGGTGGAGAAGCACATAGAGATGGACGTGCTGGAGGCCTGCAGTAAGACATACAGCATCCTCTGCTCGGAGGAGTACACCATCATGAACCGCGTGGACATCGCCCGCTCACAGCTCATCGACGAGATGACGGACCGCTTCACACACTCAGTGGAGGAGCTGCTGCAGGAGGTATGACAGGATTGAATTAAAAGAGACAGGGGGACAAAGTATCTGTAAAAACGACAAGGGGAGCTCGTCTTGGAGATTGTGTTTGAAGCTCCGCTAGAAGATATGTAAAAGATGAAGAAATATGTAGTTTGAAGGTGGGAGCAGGTTCAGTTGCAGACATTGAAGCCTGTCAGCTGTTAGAGGGAAGCACACTTCACGTCTCATCATTTGTCCTGCCTGTTTCCTTTACTGTCACATTCAAGTTTTGGCAGAATTCCCTTCAAGATCTTTGAAATTTATTTTGAAATCAGTGCAGATCAGTGCAAAAAAAAAAAGTCTTGATTTGCTCAGTTGCAGGCGTACAAGATTTAAAAAAAAAACAGCTGTGGAGCTTACTACACCAAAACTCTGTCACTCTCTACACTAAACATCAAATAACATGAGTGCAGTCTTTGTGTGTGCTAACGTGTTTTTTTTTTTCCCCCACAGGCTGAAGAGGCTGACGATGACGACATCTACAATGTTTTATCTACTCTCAAGAGACTCACAGCCTTCCACAAGTAAGGCTCCATTTATTTCTTCATTTCAGCTGGGAATAACAAATATTTTATTTCTGGATTAGCTTTGTTTCTAACTTTTTTTCTTTTTCTTCTTAATTAGTAGCTTAGCTTGAATCAGAAAAGATCATTAAATAATAACCGATGTGTAATAAAAGTTCTCCCCCTCTGACTAACGACTGACTAAAGCTCCTCTGAAGAGTTTTTAGCTTGTAATGAAGCAGGCTCAAATCAAAACTGATGCCTCTTTATGATCTACAAAAGCATTAGAGATCATTAGAGAGCAGATTAGTCATTTAAATTAAGTAATTTGATAAACTTTTTAACTCTGCTGCAGGAATAGTTGTTAGACAAGCCCATTAACAGCCATCTGCTTAAACAGCATTTTTAAATGTATCCACACCAATCATTCATCGAGATTTGCAGGTTAGACATGCAGAAGTCTAAATGTCTAAAATATAAGTGTCTCTATGCAATTTGAGCAGAATTCAACTTAAGTTATTTCAAAAATTCTACCGTAAAATCTGCTGAAAATTCTCAGGACTACAGCCAGGGACATGAGGAACGAGAATCCATTGAAAGTTTCTTGTCACCTCTCACATATTTTTTTGAAAAAGGATAACAGTTTCTTAACAGTCAGAAAATACTACTTCTAAATGTACATTACAAGAACAGAAAAGAGATGAATTGTCCTGCTTTGTCTACAGGAGGCGCCAAAATGGACACAAATCGAAAGTTCTCTCACATGAGCTTGAAAGTAAAACTGACACAAAAAGTATTTTTTAAGATTCAGGTCATCATTACATCACTGTCCTTGGATATTGATTCCCCAACAGCATTATATTGGTGTGCCAGTCTGTTTCACATTGAGGTTTACAGCGTTGCAGAAGCAAGATGTGTAAAGAAACACAGGAGCTCCACATACACACACACATACACTCACCTGCACACACACACACACACACACACAGCACAATGCGATTCTCTCTCCCTGAAACACCTCTGTTTCTACCTCTGATGGCAGCACAGAGCTGGGATCTCTTCGACCCTCTGCCTCTGTGACACTCATATTGAAAGCATGACGTCAGGGTTGCGAGGGTGAACTGGCAGTCTGAAAAGGGCTTCTGTTTACAACTTCCACTTGATGTCTTAACTGAGCTGTGAAATCTCCTGTGTTTCCTCTCCTCTCTCGCTTCAGTGCCCACGACTTGACGCGGTGGGATTTATTTGGCAACTGTTACCGGCTGCTGAAGGCGGGCATCGAGCAGGGCTCCATGCCGGAGCAGATTGCCGTGCAGGCGCTGCAGTGCTCCCACTACTCCATCCTGTGGCAGCTGGTCAAAATCACGGAGGGGGCCCCCAGCAAGGTGCTGCACTCGCCACACACATCACTCACACACATCACAGGTTTTCTTCTTCATCACAGGCTCACAGGTTAAGACTGCTGTGTTTGAGCAGCCATGGCCGAGAGGGACGGGAGCTTATCTGTATTTCTGCAGAGGTTTAGTTCAGGTGTAAAGATCAATCTCATTATCGGACAGGATGCTGAGCCTCTACTCGGAGGGCTTGCTCCCAATCTATCTCATTCGCCTCTTAAACAGTGTGCAGAGGCATTAGAGCCCAAAGCTGTTAGCTTGTGGTGAACTGAAGGCCAAACCTCTTAAAGAGTTTAACCTGTGATTCACGACTGGGGCTCCCATCATATACAGCAGGAAATTAAAGTCGAGGGATGCTCTTTTTAAGTCAATCAACTCGAACATGACAATTATTTTCTACTCTTTTGTATTAATTCTTTGCTTGCAAAGTCAGTTTATTTGTACTGCATCTTATAAAAATCACAGTGCTTCACATAACAACACATAGAAGACAAGATTACAACAAAAGGAGATAAATATGGGAGAAATGTCCCAGTCTACTGTGTGCCACTGTGCTCTCTGAGCGACCGGCATCAACTCAAATGGATCAGTTCTTCTGCCTCAGTGGAGTCAGCTGATGATAAATGAAAATGAAAATAGAGAGTCAGTGAGTCAGGGCCAGATATTGAATCCTGACTGTTAATGCCATTTTGAATTGATGTCTGTTCAATCGTTCATGATTTGTAACACTTGACTAATGGTGTGTCTTTGTGTGTGTGTGTGTGTATTTGGATGCAGGACGACCTGGTGGCTCTCAGGAGAGTGGTGAAGTCTTTCCTTGCTGTGTGCCAGCAGTGCCTGTCCAACGTCAACACACCAGTCAAAGAACAGGTAATGACACACACCGGATGACAACCTGCTCACACGTTCACTGTCAGTATAAGACTTTGTGTCAATTTGTGCAAAAAAAACTTCCAGCAATGTGTTTAAACGAGGATAACAAGCAGCTCAAATCACTAGAAACAGAGTCTTTATTAGAAACTACACTCTTTCATCATTGTGTTTGACATTTCTGGAGATGCTCTGTAGTCCTGGAGTGTGTAGAAAGTTTAATTATGAAATACAAAGATCCAAGTGAATCTTTCCAGGACGGGAATTCTCCAAAAATGTGAGGAAAGCTGCATACTTTCCCCGAGTCACACTGCCTAATATATTATATTATGAGGAGGTGATATCAGTTGTTTCTGAGAAAAAGCTTTCATTACAGTGATATTTGTTTCCTCAAACTATGAAAAGACTGTTTTTGTAATGTTTTTCTTTTGTGTCGTCTCCTCATGCAACCTTCACTCCTGTGTCGGCCTCTTGTTTAGGCGTTCATGCTTCTCTGCGACCTGCTGATGATCTTCAGTCACCAGCTGACATCGGGCGGGCGGGAGGGCCTCCAGCCTCTGGTCTTTAACCCGGACAGCACCCTGCAGAACGAGCTGCTCAACTTCGTCCTGGACCACGTCTTCATAGACCAGGATGACGAGAGTCAGAGCATGGGTAATGGTTGGCTCATTTTGGATTCAGATCATCACATGATATACTTGATGATTGTGAAAAAGTCACCTTGACTTGATTTTAAAAATTGACTTAACTTGTTGTTTTCCCTCATCGAGTAGAGGGAGATGAGGAGGACGAGGCCAACAAGATCGAAGCTCTTCACAAAAGGAGAAACCTGCTCGCAGCTTTCTGCAAACTCATCATCTACGACATCGTAGACATGCCGGCTGCTGCCGACATCTTCAAACACTACATGAAGGTGACTATTCAACCCTTAAGGCAATATGAAGTGGGAGGTGCACTGTGTAACCTTCCAACTTTAAACTGCTTTGTTCTCTTTTCTCAGTATTATAACGATTACGGCGACATCATCAAGGAAACTCTGAGTAAAACCAGACAGACGGACAAAATCCTCTGCGCCAAGACTCTCATCCTCAGTCTGCAGCAGGTGAGAGATGGATTCAAATATGGATTCAGGTAACATACACATGTTGTGCTATTGTGTGCATACTGAAAGACACTTTTTCTTCATGTGTGTTGCAGCTGTTCAACGAGCTGCTGCAGGACCAGGGACCCAACCTGGACCGAACGTCGTCCCACGTCAGCGGCATCAAAGAGCTCGCCCGACGCTTTGCCCTCACCTTCGGCCTGGACCAGATCAAGACCAGAGAGGCTGTGGCCACGCTGCACAAGTAAGAAACTAGGAGTGATGTTTTTCTGTTATCAAAGGAGTGTAAGACTCGTATGACAGATGTAACCAGACGTGGAGGAGGAACAGAATGTTTAATGCTTAGGTTTAAATGAGTTTTAGGACATTATGAGTGTTATTATAAAATAAAAAGAATTTGTGATGGTTGATTTTCTAATTGGAAAAATACTTATCAAATCTTTCACTCAAAGACAGACGATAGGAGAGGAAGGAGTCTCTCAAAAAGTTGCAAATAAACACCAGCACACAGTCTAACATGCATATATATTTATTGGCAATGTGTCGCCCTTCCTTATCCAAAGATTGAGACTCATTCTAAGGTGATCTAACGGGATAAAAACTATTTAAATTGTTAGCTGTCATTGGGAAAAGTCAGTTAAGCATCCCATAAATTGAGCTGGACAGTTCTTCTTTCATTTATGCTTTTTTTTATGTGGTGGCAAGTAAAAAAAAAAAAAAGTGTTGTTTTTCTGTTTGTGTTCAATTTAGTAACTGTCTGTGTTCTTTTTATTTTTTCTTTGTCTATATTTTTACCCCTTCCTCCACCTTGCGCGCTCTGTCTCTCTCTCTCTTGCAGGGATGGAATAGAGTTTGCATTTAAGTACCAGAATCCTCGGGGACCAGAGTTTCCTCCCGTCAACCTGGCCTTCCTGGAGGTCCTGAGCGAATTCTCATCCAAACTCATCCGCCAAGACAAGAAGACAGTGTAAGCACTCCTTTCAATCTTTATACACTGCCTGAAGATGAAACTGGTTTCTGTCACTTCACATTAGGATTCATAATAAAGATAGTACGCTCCGTTTCTGCATGCCTCCTCAGTCACTCGTACCTGGAGAAGTTCATGTCAGAGTCGATGTCGGAGCGCCGGGAGGACGTGTGGCTGCCGCTGATCTCGTACAGGAACAGCCTGCTGACGGGAGGAGACGAGGACCACATGTCCGTCATATCCGGGTCCAGCAGCAAGACCGGCTCGGTGCGCAGCAAGAAGGGGCGACCGCCTGTACACAAGAAACGCATCGAGGGTGAGGAGACTGGGTTTCAAACAGACATGAGGGGTTACTATTCTATATCTCTGTTGTGTTACTGACTATAGACTTTTCTGTGTGTTCGTTTTCAGAAGAGAGCAGTGTGGAGGGCTCGTGGTTGATGCGCAACGACACTCTTCAAACACCGGGAGCGCTGCAGACTCCTCAGCTCACATCAACAGTCCTCAGAGAGAACAGACCAGCAGAACACATGCCCGACCCCGACTCAGAACCTGGATCAGAGAACGACTACGTACACAAGTGAGGATCCATACAAACACGCATACTGGTCTAGTGCTGCCAATTGGATGAAAAGTTCCTCAAATTGCAGTGCTTCAAATGGCCACAAGGGGCAGGCTTCAAAAGCCAGTCAATCCCCATCGATTCTGAATTAAATTTCCAAGATTTACGGCAGCGTTGAACATGTGAAAAACCTGAGACAAAAAAGGTTTTCCTTTGTAGAGATTCCATTTCTCTTTCAGAGTTTCAAAACAGTACAAAATCACTTCTTTTCTAAAGTCTCAAGTATCATTCAGCGTCTTTCATCCACTTGCGTAAACACATTAAACGGACTTATGTAAACGTATTAAAGTGGTATCAAAGAGTCGTCTCACCTTTTCTCTGTCCTCAGTCCTCAGATGCAGATGTCGTGGCTCGGCCAGCAGAAGATGGAGGAGGTGAACAGGAAGGACCGGACGGGCATGAACTACATCAAGTCACGCAGCAATCAGGGAGTCCGGCAGACTGTGTAAGTTTGTGAAGCAGAAACACAAATGATAGATGTTTGGTAGAGCTCAGCACTCTGTTAGATTTAAAATCCACCACAAATGTTCTGAGAGCTCCTGTGAGGAGTTTTTATCCGGTTATCTCAAATAGAAAGAATGCCTCTATATGACCTATAAGGAATGATGTGTTTGATTGTTAGAAGAAAGCAGGATGAGATTTCTCATTGGAAATCAAATCTTACACATGTACAATCTTACACAAGAGCAGCAGAGACAACTATATTGCTTTGTCTGCAGGGGGCGCCAGAATCAACAGAAAATGTTCCTCACAGGACTTTTAATGAAACATTAATAATTGTGTTTTTTTTTACGTATTCTCGATGATATTTCTTATCAGCCGCGGGTTGATGGAGGATGATGCCGAGCCCATCTTTGAGGACGTGATGATGTCATCGCGAGGCCAGCTGGAGGACATGAACGAGGAGTTTGAGGACACTATGGTGATCGATCTGGTCAGTCGCCTTTTTCTTTCAACACACTGAACCTTTTCACCCTCTAGATGAGGAAAAGATATATCCAGATCCTTTTTATATATCCAGCTTTTTGTCTTATTTTTAATATCGTTATTTGGGCGTTGTCCCTTTCAGCCGCCATCGAGGAACAGACGTGAAAGAGCAGAATTAAGACCGGACTTCTTTGACTCAGCAGCCATGATCGAGGACGAGTCGGTGAGTTAAACTTTGCACTTTGACCATCATGAAAGTTTAAACTTCAGCTGTAACAACTGATCATTTTGCACAGAATTACAATGACACCATTCTGATAAACATTCTATTTTTAGCAGAAATGTTCAAATATATCATATTCCATCCTGTAAAATATTATCTTTTCATCATCTGCTTGTTACTTAATGATTCTTTCTTTTATAACATTCAGATGTTACCTTAAACTCTGAGACATTTTCTGAACAAATAATAAAAAGAGTAACCGTTACACACACAGTATGTCATTTAAATGTGATCAACATTACAGTTTTTCACATCCAATTTTTAAGTCATTTTTCCACTTTGGCGCCCCCATGTGGTAATCATTATAAAAACAATGGCTTTCTGCAGGGTTGCAGCCATGATATTTCCTTTGTATCGTTATCTGACAGTCGCTCTCCTCCTCTGTTGCAGGGATTCAGCATGCCCATGTTCTGATGTGGGAAGAGGCGACCATCCTGAGACCAGGATTCACATCAGGATTAAACACAAGAGGGAGGGAGGGGGGTGATTACCTGCCACTCAAACTCCTAAGAAGAAGAAAAAACATTGTCGAAGTACTTTTCTCTTTCTAAAAGACACAATGGAAGGATGATTTGTCAAGTGGATCTTCTGATGGATCCCACATCGGCTGGATCTCACCTGGTACTGTGGTGCGTCGAGGATCGGCTCTGTTCTTTCAGGCGGGGGGGGGGGGGGGGGCGGAGGATCCAGAATCTAGTCCGGTTTATTCAAGAGCTTTGTTTTGCTCCTGTTCTTCCTGTTGGTTTAGCTCTTGTTAGCGGTAGCTCTGATGGCACCTCGGCCGCCGACCGATGAGTACTTACAGCTTTTACGGTTTCGTGTCACACAGATGTTTTGTTCCGCTCACAATCAGCAACTCAACACTCTGTACAGACCACCCCCCCCCCCTTCTCTTTGTGTCCCCCCTCAACCTTCCTGGTTAAATCAAACTTAAAGAGGATCTCAGAATATGTAATGTTCTATATCTTTGCTCTTATTACCACCCACTGACCCCCCCCCCCCCTCCCCCTCACTGTTCACCATTGTGGGTGTAAATTGTTAATGATGATGAAAGTTGAGAAGAACATGCGCACTAGAAAAGACCGGGAAGCATTGATGTAACTGTTTTGTGTGTGATGTCCAAGCAAAGCGAGTGTTGTCATTTGATTTAAGCCCGACCCCTCTGACCTCTGACCCTGGACAGAAAGAAGCCCCACCCTCTCCGATCTCGGACATGTTGTGCACTCTCACACACACACACACACACACACACAAACACACACACCCTCGAATAACTGCTTTTTAAAGTAAAAAAGTTTTAAAAAAAGACAATAAACATATTTTGAATTCTGTAGCTTTAGTACTAAAGTTTTAAATCGAGTGTGTTTCGTTTCTGTCTGATGTTTGTACAGCCTTTTCTTGAATATGTATCTCGTTTGTTGCCAAATTGTGGCCTACATACTTACAGTATATTCCAGCCCCTCCCCCTACACCTGCATCTCATATCTAACGGTTACCAAGCCCCAGTTATCGCCATGGGATACCAGCTGTTTAAGCGCTGTATGGTCTGATTGTAATGGTTTCACAGTTCAGTATTACTGCAGATTATCTGTATTGTCGTTCACTTTACAGGTCAAAGTAAGTTTTCACACCTGCCTACAGTGTTAGCGGATCCAAGGAGTTACAGATTTTTGTTGTTATTATTGTTCATATCGAAGTGCAGTGATGGATCTCTAGGTCTGACAGATTTGTTTGAATGTGTTTTGAATGTTTTCCAGCCATATCGTCGCTCACCCTCTCTGTTTGTTCAAAAATCATATCCCTTCCTCTGGCTGGCTTGGCAGTCCTCCTGTAAATATCAGAGACAATTGGATCTTTTCTGCAGTGCAGTTGACATCGGTTGCCCTAAAATGCTCTAAAAGCCTGGTTTTTTTTGTTTTGTTTTTTTCTGTGAACCTAAATTCTTTTTAATAAAATAAAATCTGTAATCAATTTATGAGCCCAGTGTTGTGTGCCTTTGTTTTGAATGCTCAGCGTGGTTCAAACCAGCTGCACACTTCTTAGTATCAAATAAACAATCAGCCTGGAGTACTAACATGGTGACAGTTCACTTTTGATCTTGGGAAGAGCAGTAAAACAAAAACAAAAAAATCATCTCAGCTCCGCTCTGTTGCCCATTGTGAGATCAATTAAGTACATCCATCTTTCCATCTTTTTATTGTTTTACAGATTAGAAACACAAAATCTAACAAAGTGTAATTAAAAAAATGTTTAAACTTCAGTCAAAGAAGGAGGCATCAACTTTAGAGAGAAACAGCAAGACTCGGCTATCCTTTAAAACTATCCAACTTGACAAATCTAAAAACTACAAATTATAAACTTTGCGCTGAGAGGAGAGATCTACACATTTCTAACCTGACACCAGCTAATCCCCCAAAACGTTTACTCTTGATTACACATCGCTAACTTTACCTTGTGGAAGAACCAGGATGAGGGTTGCACGATGTTGCCTCACAGCAAGAAGGTTCCTGGTTCAAATCCCTCGTTGGACAGGGTCTTTCTGTGTGGAGTTTGCATGTTCCCCCTGCACATGCGCGGGTTCCCATCGGATACTCCGGCTTCCTCCCACAGGCCAAGTACAAGCTTGTTAGATTAACAGGTGACTAACACAGTTGGTATGTGAGCATGAGTATAAGTCTGTCTCTTGATGTTTGCCCTGTGAATGACCAGTAAAGGGATGGAAAAAAAACCCCACTTCTTTTGCTTGTGTGGGAGAAAATCAGCAAATTTAAAATACATTGTTCTGTCCATAGGGGGCGCCATAATCCATACAAAGTTTCTCACAGTAGTTTTAGCCCTGATTGAAGGAGGTGAAATTGCGCCAGACACATCTTCCACTTCATTTGTAAGTCAAAGTCGAAGTTTTCCAATCAAATTTAGGCTGTATCTTTGAACTTTGACCCCCTCTCTCTCTCTCTCTCACACACACACACACTCACAAAAGCTGCCAAGTACACTAAATCACAACTTCTTATTCTTTCAACCAATATTTTAGGGGACTACATAACGCACAGTGTAATTTTCATGTTTGAAAAAGAAAAGGTGTAGTTTGAGTCAAGAAAGAATCTGCTGTCCTGGTGAAAGTAAAGAAAAGAAAGTTATTGAAGTCCATGATTTATTTTTCAAATGGCAGAGCAGAGTCTGCCACAGAGGAAAGGCACAGCTCAAGGTTGTAAGGATGATTTTTTTTTTTTTTCTTGACATCAACCTAGGACATCAAACGCAAAGAGTGCATCTGAAAAAACTAACTATTTTACACAGCAAAAAGAACCAAGAACTGAATGAAGCACGACGCTCACTTTGAAGCTGACTACTTACAGTAATGCCTTTGCGTTTGTCAGTTGCCTTTTGTTTATTTTCATTACCTCATCTGGTCTTTCACGTACAGTCATGTTCTTAAAATGTCAAATCATACTTAACAGTGACCAATATGGCCAGTACTGACAGCGGGAGGAGCTTTACTAAATGTAGTGTGTGTGACAATCCCAGTTATGTATTCAGGCATGAAATGGCTGTAAAATATGGTCCTTTTAACATTTTGCTCATCAGAGATAAAGATGTCAAAAAACACCAGCTGACTTTGTTAACCTAGCTCTAATATCCCGCCCCCCCTGAATCTTTTCACGTCTAGAAATGAATGTTTTCTTATTGCAGTTTATGGTTCCAAACACTAACATGGAGCTGGAAAGGAATTCAAGACTGCAACTGAGCGCTAACAAAACCAGAGTGTATCTTCATGTGCTTACTTTCCTGGAGTGGTAAATGACAGTAAAACAGGACAACAACATCTGTCAAGTTGTTTCTCTTGGGCTACCACTTGAGTTCACTTGAATGCAACATCCCAAAGTGAGCGCCTTTAGTTAGTGTTGATGAGGGGGAAACAGTTTCACAGAGGAATGTTGGCATGCTTCTTCCAGGGGTTGACCTGCTGCTTGCTGGCCAGCACCTCCAGGTCTCTGCAGATCCTCTTGCGAGTGCTCGACGGCTCGATGATGTCATCCACAAAACCTGAAAACGAACATTTGGTAGGTCAAAAAAAAAAAAAAAAGAGAAGCTCAAAATGTATTTTACTGGTATGCAGTTGATGGATTGTTGGAGACGCTTTAAAGAAGTGAGAAGGTTCACCTCTGACAGCAGCTGGGAAGGGGTTGGCGAACTTCTCCACATATTCAGCCTCGGCTTCAGCCTGGTTCTCTTTCCCTCTGAAGATAATCTGCACGGCACCCTGAGAGGGAAACGGAGAAACAGACCATACACACCGTCAAATAAAAAGGGGAAAAAAAAACAGAAAACGGAAGAAAAAAAAAAAGTGTGTACCTTGGCACCCATGACGGCCACCTCAGCTGTTGGCCAGGCGTAGTTCACGTCTCCTCGCAAGTGTTTGGAGCTCATCACGTCATAGGCTCCTCCATAAGCCTGAGGTACACACAAACACATTAAGGTAAGCGTCTTTTATCCATGAACATGCTGGAGTAAGATTCACAACATTTTCAACATGCATCTCTTTTCATTTTCATTCACAACACACCTTTCTGGTGATGATGGTTATTTTTGGGACTGTGGCCTCAGCGAAAGCATAAAGCAGTTTGGCTCCATGTCTGATGATGCCTCCATACTCCTGAGCGGTACCTGTTGATGACATCAGCGCAGTAAAAACAGGTTCAAAAAGAGTGCAACGATGCAAGGCAAGGAAAATTCTGTTAACATGTAAAGTGATAAAGTATTTAACTTGTGCTTACAGGTCATAATACAGTCGGGTTAGATAATATTTATGATTGCCTGGTTTACTCCTACACCAAACCCCGTCACTGTAGATATGAATGTGCTAACGAGGGTGCTTATGTGTTTTCCTCTGAGCTGACAGTTAAATGTTTTCTGTGCAGGCAGGTTGTCCTGTCTGTGAACAAGATGCAACAGGCGGCCAAAACATTCTGCTGACGACTAACTGTGAGCAGCAAGCCAATTAAAACATGTCAATATCTTAACCTAAGACGTAAACTTGAGGAGGGATTTTTTTTTGCAAGCAGTACCTGGCAGGAAGCCTGGCACATCCACAAAGGTGATGATGGGAATATTAAAGGCGTCGCAGAAACGCACAAATCGGGCTCCCTTCACTGACGAGTTGATGTCCAGACAGCCTGAGAAGCGAACAGATATAAAGAAGTCAGCAGCAAGATACACACACACACACACACACACACACACACACACACACACACACACACACACACACACACACACACACACACACACACACACACACACACACACACACACACACAACACACACACACACACACACACACACACACACACACACACACACACACACACACACACACACACACACACACACACACACACACACACACACACACACACACACACACACACACACACACACACACACACACACACACACACACACACGATAGATCATGAGTTAAGTAACTACTCTTTTGACTTCCCCCACCAAACTCACATACACCGTTCAGAAATGAGACAGAGGGAACATTTTAAAGAAAAACTTTTGGATGAACGTGAAATTAAAGAGGAAAAGGGTGGCTATTCTCCAAGTGGTTAAAAATACAAATTAAAAAAATTGAAGATGAATTTTAAAAATATGCTGTTTTCCACATTTATTTGCAGAATATTTCTTATAAAATTGAAGTTTCCCCGGTCCCCATATTTTTCTTATCTTACAGAAATAAAACTGTAAATGTGGGCCTTCTCCCTGCCGTTCTTACGTTTGGTCCTTCACAGACTTTACTCACCAGAGGCCACTTTGGGCTGGTTACCCACAATGCCTATAGTGCGTCCGTTCATGCGCGCAAATCCCACCACAATGTTTTTGGCATAGTTGGGCATGATCTCAAAGAAGTCCCTTTCATCCACAATCTGAGGAGTGCATGCAGAAAGTAACCTTTAAAAATAAATGACTTACTTGAACATGTAAGTGAGCGAGTGTTTGTGTTTGCGCACGTACTGATTGAATGATGTCCAACATGTCGTAGGCTTTAGTCGATTCATCCGGGACAATGGTATCCAATGAGAGAACGGCACGATCGCTGAAAACGCAAAAAGATATTAAGACTCAAATTAAACAATATGGAGGTATTCGCCCAATTAAAATACATGACAGGTTGTGTCGGGATTGAGAGGCTGATGTGATTGGTTACCTGGGGTCATGGCACTCCCTGATGGGAGCAGGATCTCGATTGCTTAGAGGCAGGAAGTTGAAGAACTCTCGCAGGTTTAGTAAGGCATCGACATCGTTCTCAAACGCGTGGTGAGCCACTCCTGAGAACATGACACAGGAAACTTTTCAATCTCTTAAACAAAACAAAAAAGAAGCAGATTTCAACTTCTCAATTTTGAAATATCGATCTTAACTCTTCGCTCTTCTGGTGAGAAGTAATAACAGTTCTTACTAACCAGAAACAGTCGTGTGCGTTTTAGCTCCGCCCAGCTGTTCTTGAGTCACGTCTTCATTGGTGACCGACTTCACAACATCGGGTCCTGTGATGAAGAGGTATGATGTGTCCTATACACACGCAGACAATCAGCTGTCAGGACAATATACAGCAACTGTTTGTGTCTTCAGTTAGCGTCATTCATAAAAATGATAAACTGACAGAAGAGAAATATGCGAGTATAAGACGATTCATTTAGAATTCACTTGTGCAGCCCGCCTTACTTTAACCATGAAGGTGAAATCTGTCAGCGCGGGGGAGTAGACGGCGCCTCCAGCACAGGGACCCATGATCATGGAGATCTGAGGGACGACGCCTGAAGCCATCACGTTCCTCTGGAGAAGGAGAATGGTTGTTTTTTTGTTTTTTTTTATTGGTCAAAAAACAATATCTGAGGGGACATCTAGTGACAGCAATTCTGCCCAAAGATCTATAAGGCAACAATATGTAACATGGAAGGACTCTT